GAGTCTTGCTGGGTTGTGGGGCGACCTCCGGCGGTTGTTGGACGACCAGCGGGGAATGTGCAGCTTGGTTCCTGCCGCTGGAGGTGTTCAAGAGTGTTGCAAGTGTGCATGCTGAGGCCAGGGATGTCGTTGTCGTAATCCTCCGAAGGCACTGGTGAAGATGCCTTTGATTTCTGCCAGCATGGATTTTCTGAGGGCTGATGCATGCCAAGTTGCTCCATGCCGTTACGGTCTTTGTGGCTTGTGCTGAGCTTCTATTGTGCATTCGGGCTTGCTGACCATTGCACGAATCAATGCGAGCAAGCATGAATATACCCGGTCAAACCAAACCCGATCAACTTTAAGCAACAGCGTCGCCTCTGTGCGGTATCTTTTTCAATCCTCTCGTGGAGACCTACCCTATCTTGCACTTCTCTGGGAAGCTGGAGTATGCATCTTGTCAGGACAAGCTTCGAGTGAAACCTCCAAAGATGACAGCGAACAACAAGATGTTGTACTTTTCTCTTCAGGCCCAGCTATTTGGCGTTTAGGGTTGCGGGAGTAAGGCTATGTGGAGCTGAAGGGGCCAGCCGTGCCGTACGCATTAAATCATGATCAAGCATGATGGCATCTGCGCAACAGTGGAAATCATATGTCTGCCTGTCGTGGCATTTCGAAATCTGCACCTGTCCATGCATTTGCCTGCGTATGCGTCTGTACTGTACGCATGCCAGGTGCGTACGTACCAATGTAGGTAGGTATGTACATATGCGCATATGCATACAGACACACACACACACTACTACATCACTACTTTAATAGTAAGAGTAACAAGGCTGATAATTAATAAGAATAACATAATCACGATAATTATGACGTACATATATACACACACACATGTATGTATGTATGTATGTATGTATGTATGTATGTATGTATGTATACACACATATTCATGCCCGCTCTGCATATATATATATATCATACATAAGAATACTGCTAGATAAAGAGGTACACAAAAGATAAAGATAGACATAAGCACAAAGACAGAAATTATATGGATAAATTTTGTAAATAAATAGATGTATATGTGAGCACGAGCTGTCGCGCAGCAGGCATTGAAGGCGGCGCTGCCAAAGGCGGTTGTCAAGGCCTGGCAAACTACGGCCGAACTTCGTGTTTACGGTCTTGGTGTCTAGGCAGGTTGCCAAAATGCTGGCATCCCGAATTAGGCGTCCTTGTAAGAAGGATCCCACGATATTGCTTGGGATCTATGCTGTTCTGTGTTGGGGCGCTTCGCTTTGTGGAATTTCCAGCCGGTATCTAGAACGACACGGACTAGACCGGAGCCTTGTCTGAAGACAAAGATGGCCATACATAACAGTACTTCGTCTCAGTAATCGCCTAATGAGTCAACTCAGGGCCGCTCAGGGTCAGGCGTTGTGTAAAGACCAGCTCACCGGCTTTTAATTGGGTCTAGGATGGTCTAAGTCAGGTCCCGGTACTCGATGTCGCCTGTGTTATTTGCGTTCGCTGATTGGCTTCTTGCAGCCATTCCCGTTCATACTGAACTTGTAACATCTGAATCTACACGGAACGCCGAATGTCTTGGAGTCGATGGCGCGATGTCAGAGCAGTCTGTGCCTTCAGTGGTCGGGCAGGGAATCCCCTCTACCAAGCGCTCCGTCCTCAACAAGAAAGAAGTCGGCGACAAGGCGCTCTCAGAATCAGAGAAAAGCTCTTACAAGCTGCGCTGCGTGGAGCCTGTGAACATTGCAGGATGTGCATGCCTTGCAGGTTTCCTACACGCTGCTCGTCGAAGGATATGGCTTGCGGGAGGCTGGAAACTCTGCGCACACAAAACCCGGTGCCCGCACAGGCCCGCACAGTCTGAAGATCCATCCAACAACTACCATGCGTTCCGGCAGATAACAGCGGGAAATGCGGCAGTCAGAGAAGTCCTAGCCGTCCCAGCATGTCCCGGCTCAAGGTCATGGGAACGCCCGGGATCAACCCGAACAAGACCAGCTCCAACCATGTGGTGGAGGTGGAGAAGGTCCGCCCCGATTCAACAAAGCTTTGGAATTCACCGGATTCCTTTCGTTGTAGACAAGCTCGAACCTGGTGCCCACTGACTTGAAATGCCATGCCTGAAAGTCAACGCTTCCGGTCATCGAAGCCGAGGCGACAATCAAATTCTCAGATGCGGTTTTCCCGGCAGTGACAAGGATAGGAGCGTAGGGGGTGCAGAAATTGCAGAGAGCCAGGCAGACTCCCTCCACAGAATGGGGCCGAGACGAGCACCATCCCCGGCAAATCCAACAAACATACAACACTAAGCCCCACACCACAACACAAACTCTGCACCCACCAGCAACCCTAGCCCCTGGAGCTAAAAGGAATCAACAACCAAAAAGAAGGACCAGGGCCCCATAGAGGATAGCAAGGGGAGGAGGATGCAAGAGCAAGCTGCAGCTACAGGTGCTTGGGATCGAGGCAGCTCGTCGCACCATCATGCAGGAGATCAAAGTCACGCCGCTGGGATGCAGAGCCCTGAAGATCCCTGGCAAAGGTGGTCACACTAGTACGACTACGTCTTGTTATATATGATGCGAAGGCATGCATACCTTCGCACCGTTATACAAATATGTACGACATACATATATATATATATACACACATATACGCGTGTATATATATATATATATTCTTTTTTATCTAGAGAGAGATGTGTGTCTACAACACAGTAGAAGATAGTGTACTATACTGTTGTACAGAGGGTGTGTGTATGTGTGTTTGTAAATGCACACATTCACATATACATATATAGTATATAAACACATCGACTGTAGATAAAGATGACTATGTAATGAGTGTTATAAGAGGATTGCTACAAGGGGTTTGTGTAAGCGGCTGTTCACACTCGGTTCCGCCTTTGCGCAGCAGCATGTCTTTGCCCTTGGATGTGTCCGAAGCCCGACCATTTCGCGGCAGGTGATTTACGATATGCAATATGTCTTTACATATGTATATACACATGTTTACGGATATTACATGTATGTATGTGTATATATATATATGTGCGCACAGATGTATGTATGTATGTATGTATGTATGTATGTGTATATATATATATATATTTGGAGAGAGAGCGAGGTCACCTTCCTCTTGACGAATGTGCGGTGAAAGAACATTCTTTGCGATTTTGACAAGTTGCCATGTGTAAGCTGTTGCAATATGCTTAGCAAGATATGCACATGCACATGAGCCGCACCGTAGATGTAGAACTTCTTGACGCTCGAGGTTGCAATCGAGCTTCTGGCATTATAGGGTCCTGATTCCCAGAAGCACTTCCTGATCCGATAAGCCTCGAGTGTACTAGAGACAGAGGCACCACCTTGTTCTTGTACTCAGGTTGGGCGCACATGGAATTTCAGTGGATGCCACATTCCCAGAGATTGCTGTGATTCAGGCTGATAAAGTACCCGGGAACCAGGATGTGAAGTTTGCCACTTGCCATGGGCATGACTACCAGGCGCGACATATCCAGATGCTCGGCGACTGCATGACATACCGAGGAGCGGCGATTGCCTTAGCTTGGCAGTCTGCAGTTTGTCACTTCATAGATCCGGGCAATCTTGCACAAACAAGCTTCTATTTCATGCTACGGACACTCATCCACATCTAGCACGACCCTGCTGCAAGGTGCTGGGCATCAACCGATTCGGCATAAGCCGAATGCGAACATCGGCCTTGATGCGCCTTGGCACATCCTTGTTCTCCATCGCTCAACAGTTGCGCGAGTCTGGAATCCTGCTATAATAACGCCAGCGCACCCTGTATGCCTGTATGCTGCAACAGGCGACGCCCAAGATCACACGAAAGCCAGCCTATCTTAGCCTTCCCCTCCCTTCGGCAAGTAGAAGGCTGGCGTCCTTTGAGCGGACCACGGACCTTGTCTTCGATGCTGCAGCGCGCAGCCGCGTGGACCCCGTGAAGGGCGTCAGCGAGCGCTTGCCTCAGATCGGATGTTAAAAAGCCAGGTGTAGGATAGAAAGGGGGCTTCAAAGCGCCGGGTCATGCTTGAAACCACAGGTACTGACGGACTGAACTGCTCCTATGCATTGTCCGTGTCGTACTCTTCTGCGGAACAGAGACACGGATGAACGCAGACAAGCATCTCCAGAGGCAGCAAGCTTGTCCCTGCAACATGTCGCATCACTCTTTAGAGTGTTGCCTCCAGGATAGATTCTGCAAGCAACCCAGGGAGTGCTCCGCTGCCTGAAAAACAGGTGCATCATCATGGGCTCCACGATCAACTTGGGCACTGGCCTTTGCAAGCTGCTCTATGATTTCAATGCCCAGGCCTGCGGTGACACGGGGCGAGAGCAGGGATTGTGTCTGTTCTTTCTCTTTCTCTCTCTCACTCCATCTCGCTCTCTCACTCTCTCTCTTTCTTTCTCTCTTTCTCTCTTTCTCTCTTTCTCTCTTTCTCTCTTTCTCTCTTTCTCTCTTTCTCTCTTTCTCTCTTTCTCTCTTTCTCTCTTTCTTTCTCTCTTTCTTTCTCTCTTTCTTTCTCTCT